GTCCCCAAAAGTATGTGGGGAGAGAGGAAGCAGTCAGGGTGAGTCTCAGGCAATCTCGTGTGGGCACAGCTCTAGTGTTATAGTCGACAGCCCCAAATCCCCATCTCCGCCTGGGACCTGACGCAGATCTGTTTCTGGGTTCCGTAGGGTCATGCGTGTGCACAGTGACAACATGCTAAACAAGATTCTGGAAAGAGGCTGGATGGCTTGGCTGGGGGGAGGAGTTCCAGGTTCCCTGGAGGTGATGGCTGTGGTTGGGGAAGACAAGGAGGCATGGATCTTTTGTGATGGGCCAGGATGTGCCATTGGGGATATGCTGCAGACCTGACATTTCAGATGCTGTCACAGGTGTGACCTTGGTCTTGACCTTGTGGCACAGGAAGTCCTGCTCTGGGAGTTGGCCCAGAGTTTGGGAGACAAATTGATTTCCATGTAAATGTGACCAAAGATCCATTCCTATACCTCTGAGATCATTTCTACTTCCAGGAACAAGATTTCTGCCACCGAAGCGAGCTGTTAGGGGCCAGCCTCATTGTTCATAGGGTTGTAGTACTGTGTGTGTGTGTGTGTGTGTGTGTGTGTGTGTGTGTGTGTGTGTGTTTACTGTGTTCTCTTCCTCCTCTTGTCAGCCTGGTTTCCAGGCTCTTGAAGTCGCATTGCTTTGGCGTTAGAGGGAGAGGAGACTGTCACTCAGGAAACCAAGACTCTGAGAAAGGAGCACCGTCTGTATGCAACAGACTTTGACCTTAAGAGTGGCAGAGCTGTGTCTGGCCACAGATGCTGGGTTTTGTGGTTGAGCACAGCAAATGGGGCATAGAGACCTCCCAGCCAAGGAGACCCTGGTAGAGTCAGGGGCCTTAGCCTTCTGGTGCTACAACCTTCCCAGCCTCCCAGGATGAGTCCGGTCCCAGCATCCTGCAGGGAGTGAGTCCCCTTGCTCACAGGCTGTGCGTGCATGTGTGATGCAGGCAGGTGTTTAATGGGGCAGGGTGAGGAGCGGGGAGTGGGGAGCGGTGGTTGATTTTTGGGTACATTCTGCCCAATGAACCCCCAAACCAAGGAGCCACACAGAGTTCGCTGGACTATAGTGGGTTCAAGTAATTTATTTTTAGATTGTACCAGCATGTTTGGTTCTGGGGTCCAATCCCCAAATTCCAGAAAAATAAACTAATAAGAACCACATGCACTACGAGAAGGCCATTCCGACGTGTCCGTGATCATGCGGTGAGTGGGCAGAGAAGACGGACCAGGAGCCCTGGGCACAGAGCAGGGCCTCTCTCCCAGACAGCTGGCAGCTCCTGCCTCGGAGTCCTTGTCGGGGTTGTGAAGAGGGCCGAGGCTGGGTCATGTGGACCCTGTCCCTTTTCGGCCCTGGGCCTCTTATTGCTACATTTGCTACTTTGCTACTTTATGGCCCTTGGGTTGTGCCCAGGGAATGCCTATCATCGGGTGGTACTAAGAGTAGGCTGCTGGCGTTTGCTGTTGCCATGGTTACATGAGCACAGGCCTCTCTTCAGAGAGTCCCATGGTGAGTTATCAGGAATTCATTTGGCCATTATTGGACTGTGTCACACCTGGTCATTGCTACAGACCCAACCTGGCCAACCCCTTGGAAGCTGATGGCACATTATTCCCTGCACTCTGGGCTTCCCACCTCCTGGACTTTGCAGGAACACCTCCCCCAATACACCAGACCTGAACACCAACAGCCCTTAACCCTTTCCAGCTCCTGGAAAGGCTTCCTAGTGGTGGCTTTCGAAGTCCATGCATTTGGAGCACAATGGGAGGGGTGCATTTTAGGGAACACACCAACTTCCATAGCCAGCCAAGGGCCCGCTGGGTGGCAGGCTCCTGGGTCAGTGCTCCATTGGTGAGGTAGTTTGAACACATCAGCCATCCTGCCAGAGCATGTCCCCAGGTGCTCACTGGTCCACGAAGCTACTCAGAGTGGTGAGCGTTCTCTCCTGGGTGCTGGCCTGTACCTGACCTTGGCGAAGGTGGGCCTGGAGCTTGGCCAGCAGACTGCACTGGTGGGCTGGGCCCCGCTGTGTTCTTGGGTCACAGCAATACCTTCCCAGCAGATTACAGCATCGCTTTCTAGAAAGACAGGAGCCCTCTTCCCACCCAAGAGAGTTCCTGCTGAATAGGGCAGGTGCTCTGACTGCTGCCAGGCATTTACATATGCCAACCTACAGTTACTCTTCCCTTATAGGTATTTCCCAGTGCCTAGTGTCTGTCCTGATGGTTGGGTGTTTGCTTCAAAGGCTGTCCTGATGCTTTGGCTGTGAAGCTGTTAACATGATGAGTTGGTGAGCACTCAGTGGGCAGGGTCCCGGCCCAAAGACTGTGCCCAGTCAGGGGAGCTAGGAAGCTTTGGGAGGCAGGGGAACATGCTTTGTTGCAGAACTGCCTTCAAAAGTCTAATCTGGTATGAATTTTTGGCTGTGTAGACAAAGCCAATGAGAAACTGGCCAAGACCTGATTTCCCAAGTGTAGTTCCCTTCTTCTAAGGTCTGCATAGTAGACTGACCTTGTACTGGTCAACTTGGGCAAAGCAACTCCATCCCACCCTTTATTACTAGACATGATCTACTAGAGCACATGGTGGTAGTCATAGGACTAGGTATGCCTGGCTGGGAGGTGGGATGAATGGGTATTGCTCTGGGAGTGAATCCATCTGAAGTGCCCGTAACTCTATTGAGCCTGCTGGCTGGCCTTTGCCTCTAGATGTCCCCGGAGGTGTTAAAAAGCTTCCAGCCTGCTCCTTCTCAAGGCTGGAGTCCACTTGGCTTTAGGCGGGTCCTTTGGGAGCCACCAGGGTAGGCCAAGTCTCATGCCAGTATCACTCAGAAACAGCCATCCAGGGGCCAGGGAAGCCAGCCCTGCCCTGTCTGCAGTCCTGCCCTGCCCACAGCCCTGCCCTGTCTGCAGCCCTGCCCTGTCTGCAGCCCTGGGGAAAAGCAGGAGGACCAGGCCTTGCCCTGGATCAGGGAGGGCACAGAGGCACCTGCTATTCTGGAACTGCCTTTGTCCGCATACCCTGTGCCTTGGTGTCAGCACAGCCGGGGGCCCTTGACGGGGAGGAATTTCCTTTGGGTGATGTTGGGCACAGAGGAACTTAAGCTGCAGTTGGGCTCCATGTGAAAAGATAAAAAAAGAAGGAAAGGAGGGCTCAAAAGGCCCCGGGGCATGGGACAGGGCTTCCTTTTAGTCATTATCTCTTATCTGCCAGGTGCCAAGCTCTGTGCTGAGGTCTCATGGAGTCTGGGTCTGTAACACCATCTTTGGAGACACTCTGAGGACTCAACACATGCCATCTAGTTTGTACCTCGAAGAGAGAGCAACTACTGCCAGTGGGGGAAATTGAGGCACGGTGGTCAAGAACCCACAGGGTATAACTCCAACCAAGACTCCTGATGCCCATGGTGGCCCCACTGTGAAGGCTGGTACTCTTGGGACAGGGCTGGGTAGAAACAGACATTTGACAGCTGGGAGGCGGGTAGCGGTGGGGGTCAGAGAGATGGTTATGGGAGCCTCCAGGAGGCAGGGGCTGCAAATAAGCTCACATGCCTGTGACCACCAGCTGGTGAATTTGCCTACAGGAGTAAAGAAATACCAGTGACCACTTTTTTTTGCTTCTATGTTTGCTGTTTATAACTCCCGAGGGAGATTTCCCACGTATGGCCAAAAATAGATCAAAGGAGGATGGTCACAGCAGGTGGGGGAGTGAGTGTGCGCGTTAAAAAATACATTGCTTAATACTGCTCTGTTCCTAGGCCCATGGGAGTCCCATGATAATGACAACGATGAGAGCAATAGCTACCGTTGGCTAAGCACCTACTATGTGTCAGGCACCTGACTCAGCGCTCTACATACATTACCTCGCAGCCAAGTGGGCAGATGAGCATTTTGAGGGAATACCGATGGATCTCTTGCAGGTTTTCACAAGTGTTGCATTCTGCTGGCTTTTCCCCTCGATGACCAATGACCGGCGTTGTTTAATGGGTGCCTCTGGGGGCTGTCAGAGAACTACTGGCCCTGGTCCAGTCCCTCTGCAGCCAAGTCCCCTCCAGCTTCGCACAGCACTGAGCCCAGCCCGGCAGGAGCCTGGCCACACCCACCAGGAAGCCACAATCCCTGTGACCCAGCAGCACCCCTGCTGGGAGCTCTCCCAGCTTCCACTGGGGCTGCTGCTGGGAGGATCCCAAGGGCCCCTGAGTCCATGGGCATGTTTATTTTGAGTAAAACACAAGTGAAATGGGCGAAAACCATAAATTATGAAACCACACATGTTTAAAGAGATGGTCGGAATCTGTAAAGCCGCACGCTCTTCCACCTGTGCTGGTGCTTCTGGCACTGGACCCGTGGGACGGCCTCCAGGACCCAAAGGTGGCCAGCGTGCCTGTGGACGCCTCTCTAGAAGGTGGCCTCTGGGGCCTGCTCCGTGCTGACGACGTGACTGGGACGTGTCGCATGAGGGTGGGTGGCCACAAAGACGGGGGAGGCGGGAGGCGGTGGGGATGCAGTGGCTACAGCTGTGGTGGGTGCTGTGGGAGCACCAGAGAGACAGTGGGGACGGGACGTAACACAGGGTGTGGGCAGGGCCAGCTGGTTCTTCTTGCCTTGGCCAGATGGCATGATCCCCAGGCAGAGGGACGAGTGACGATAGACTATATCTCAAGTGACAGTCACCACACCCCATAAGAAGGTCTCCCCTGAATGAGTGAGGGACAAGGGCCTCCTAGAGAGCGGGGTGTCGCGCACAGCTGTACAAGGATGGAGGTTTGTAAACAGGGGCCTCTACCGGGCCAACCCCAGGTTCTGTGGACTTTCTCTCAGGTCCTCCCGTTCCCCCACCGGGTCTCCCTGCGGCCGCCCTTCATGGCCCTCGCTCTCTGTCACAGTGACCAAGTCTCCCTGCAAGGACCCTCCGTCCGTGGATGTGGAGCGCCGCCTCCTGCCCCCGTGGTCCTTGGGCCCGGGCCCTGTGGCGGGAACCGTCAGGAGGACTGCATCAGGCCGGTGAGGCGCTTGCCCGCCAGCGACTTTCCCTGCAGAGACAGGCGACAGAGAGGCACACACAGGTGCACACACACACACACACACACACACACACACACAGAGGGACAGAGACAGAGAGCCAGACAGGTGAGTTAATTGTTGCATGAGCCATGTTGGCCAAAGGACTTGGCGAACAGACCCCCTCTGATCTCTGGGTTTGGGGGCCTGCACTGCAGACATTTGGAGCAACCGGGAGTCTGGGCAGGTTAGGGAGGGAGGCAGGGTGTGCTGCTGGCACTCCTTTTGAGGTGTGGGAGTTCTACTTACCCCAAACCAGGCATTTCAGCTCTAAGGCTGAGCATCTCTCAATGCCCGTGGGCTGACCCTGAACTTGATTTTATTTAAGCGAGCAAGAACAAGATAGATGGCTTGGGGAGTGGCCGGATCAGGGAGAGTGGGCTGACCCACATAGATGGCGGCTAAGCATGTGGGTGATTGGAAACTAATGAATGAACTAGCAGTCTTAGGAATGCAGAGGGCCAGGAAGCCTGTTTGAAACGCAGGAAAGGCACACAGGCTCTGGGTCCTCTTGATGACCCAGCTCTGGACGATGAGAATGGCACTCGGTCACGGCTCGGAGAACAGGTGACCACGTGCCACCACGGGCCTCGGACAGTGCGCTCCTGCCACCTCCTATATTCTTGGCTCCCTCTCTGCAGTGCCCAGGGCCTCACATCAGGAGTGCCACCTGCCTTTTCTTCCCTAACAACCGATGGAGCAGCTCTTCCTGGAAAGTAAGACAAGGAACCGGACTGTGAAGCTGGGTGCATGAGGCACTGAGAACCTGAGAGAGGCCCATTGCTCACATGCCTGTGTCCAGTTCCCACCCCCCTCCTCAGAAATCCATAGCATTGGACAGGGGCCTGGATGAGAGTTTGGCTGGTTCCAGGCCGATTGATCATCATGTCTCAGAAAACACTCAGAACCCATCCTGTTATTGGCAGGGTCAGTGACACCATTGCCATCCGCCAAGGGCAGCACACGACGGCTCGTCAGCACAGCAGCCGAGTTTGCAAGGGCCAGCAGTTCCTCATGGTCATTTCCAAGTGGAGTACGAGGGCTCAGCTTGTTTGCTGGGCTTGGCTGCGTGTAAGCTGGATGTAATTAAAAAAATTGATCAGGCCTGTAAAGCCCGGTGGAGTACTCAATAAACCTTCTGATTGACAAATTGATGGATAATGGGCGTATCTAACCATTGAACAGCATCAGTTGTGACTACTGGACACAGGACCGCGTGTCACCTGGCCCAGGGCTCTACAGAGGGACACGGCAGTGTGACTTTGAGGGCATGGATGGGCACTCAGTCCGGAATTGGGACTGCTCTCAGGGGCTATCCGAAAGTGTGCTCTTCCTCTTGGCTCTCCTCCTCCTTTCTCTCACCGTCATCACTTTCACTCCTCATTTTCTTTTAAAAAATAAATTTTTATTGATTTCCGAGAGAAAGAAAGAAGAGAGAGATATCAATGATGAGAATCATCGATCGGCTGCCTCCTGCATGCCTCCCTACTAGGGGATCGAGCCTGCAACCCAGTCACATGTCCTGACTGGGAATCCAACCCAGGGCCCTTCACTTAGGCTCTATCACGAGGCAAATGGGCTAGGTCTTTCACTCCTCATTTTCACTAGTAAGACAAACTTCTCGTTTTTGCGCCTCTTAAAATGCACACACACACATGCACACCATCTCCCCATCAGCAACCTTATCTGAATCTTCAGATACACCGAACTTCGCCTGCAGCAGGATACATTTATACTAGGCTAAGGATTTTTAAATCAGATTTTTTTTTTAAATCCTAGAGGGTTACGATGCCAGTCTTTGCAAATCACTAAAAGCAGGCGGCTACACCTCTGTGGAGAGTGGGTCAGGCTCAGCTTGAGCTGGCGGAAGGCAGAGCAGGCCTTCAAGGCCCCCGGCCCTGGATGCTGAGGCACATTCAGCCGCACTCTCCTTCACTGCCCTTTCTTAGACGGAGCTTCAGGCACTTGTCATTCAGTGGGTACACCTGGGATTGTGCCTTCTCAAAACAGGCCTGAAGGCAGAAAGCATGGTGTGTGTGCATGTGTGCTTGTGTTCGTGTGTGTGTGTGTGTGTGTGTGTGTGTGTGTGTGTGTGTGTGTGTTCCTCTCTGGGGAAATGTGGGGCTGATGAGTCTGGAGACCCTGTGGTCTGAGAGTTCTAACAAACCTCCCCCACCCCGTTGACCCATGTCCATCCCTGCTCCTATGAGAGGCACCAAGGAATTTTGCTTTCTTCCTTATCACTGCGGTAACCGCCCACCAGATACCGGCTCCCCCCGCTTCCATCCCTCCTCCACCAGGGCCACAAATGACACATTATGTCCCTAGATACATATGTTCCAGTTTTGTCATACACAGCATTCGGGCCCCTGATTTAGTGGGCAGTCCTGAGGGGCGGGGGGAAATCACTAAAGCTTCCCCATCACAGTCTGTGTCCAGTGCTATGCTAAAAGTCCAGAGACAAAGAAGGCGAGCTACCAGGCATCCAAACCCTCATTACAGCGGCTTCCTCGTTATGAGGTCGTTTTGGCTGGAGAGAGGGGTCTGCGGGTGGAGGGAGGTTGGAGACTCTGTTTCTGGAGGACTGTGTGGCTGTCCATTTGTTTCAGCTGAATTTGACCCTGAGGCCCCCCATCCTCCATATCTCTCAGCTCTATGGAGTGGGCTGGGCTGGGCTTGGAGGCTCTAATTAATCTCTTCCTGCCCCCATCCTGGGGCTCAGGCGCACGGCTGTGACTCCAAGGACCTGTGGCCAGCCCATCAATCCTGCCCCCGCCTTCCCCTCGGCTGCTTCTATATCTCCCGGCGTCAGGGGCAGGGGGTGCAGCTGACCAGCCTGGAGAACACGCAATCCTAGTGGTGCTCTCTGGCATTTCTCTCTCCCTCTCCCCACTCCTGCGCGTAGGCATTTGCCAAATGCCAGTTGCTGCTAAAGGAGGTCAGGAGGGTTCGGGTTGGCTGCCGGAGGGGAGGAGGGGAGAGAAGGGGGGAGACGCAGCTCAGCCCAGCTGCCATCTGTCTTCTACGCGGTGACCTCCCGGGTGAGGCTGGAAGGTGGTTACTCATGCAGGACGCAGGCAGGGCTGGATGCCTGGCCTTGGGCTTCGGGGAAGAAATCCTGCAATCACTCTGGCTCAGCCTTCTGAAGTGTTGAGATCCCTGTAGTTCCCGGGGATCAAAGTGAAATCTGATGCAGAGGCTACCTGTGTTCAGAGAGGAGCTGATTCAAGCTGGATGCGGCTGGGGGTGGGTGGGTGGGTGGTGGTGACTTGCTGCTCTGCCCAGAGAGAGAGAGGAGAGGGCCCCCCCCATTTCCTCCAGGGCTCCTCTTTCTCCCCCAGTTTGGGCATTTCTGTAGGAAGCACGTAGGAGGGGAGCAGGGATCCTGCCTCTGCTTGCCATGGAGCAGAGTTTTGGGGTCTGAATGTGTGATGTTCCTCAGAGCCGGTCAGCTGGGAGCGGACGACGGTGCCAGGAAACGGCAGCCAGCTCCGGCTGAGGCCTTGGCAGCTGAGCGCAGCAGCTGAAGGTGGTGGGAAAGGCTTTTAGCAGCAGCCTTTGTCCGAGTGGGAACACATACAGTGATTGAGGACGGAGCCTCAGAAGGTACATTTCAGAGACATCAAAGGTTTGCATACGGACAAAGCGCTTTTCACCTTCGAGACCTTCGTTCAAGTTTAATCTGATGGGATTTGGGATCCTTCAGTTTCACGGGCCACAGGCTCACAAGCACCCACAGGTCCAGTCCCCACCCCTGGCTCTGTGGCCATCTTGCCAGCTAAAAGCCTGCAAGAAGGTGCTCACAAAACCCTTTGTTTCTGAAAGGAAAGGCACAGAAGGAATGGCTCCCTTCTGGGCAGTGCTTTAAGGAAAATGGACATGCGGATGGGCATGCTGTGGCTCTGGGCATCGCACCTGCAGATGTAATCAACCAACATGCATGATCCCGCTTACCAAGACGGGTCGCCACTTACCTGGGAGACGGATGCTATACTCTCTGGCTGGGCAAAGGGCTGTGGCGCAGAGAGTAGCCCCGGGGTCAGAGGGCATATTGGGGGCAGCAGAGCCAAGCGCCAGGGGCTTGGGCAGGACCCTTCTTAACGCTAAGGTGGGTAAAGACCTCAGAGCTGCCGATGAGATTCTCTTGCTGATTTGCCCAGATGACCTCAGACCAAAGTTACAGATCTAGGCCCACCAGGTCTACGTCCACTCTGGGGGAGGGACAACATTGACGGGAGTGGGGCCTGAGGGAAGTTTCTGGGTTGATGGGGTATAGGTTACAGATGTGCTCACATTGCTATATGTAGTTATAATTCAAAAGAAAAAAAAATTAGAAAGACATCCCAGTTATCACATTTTGCTTTGAAATCCCCCACTCCTTACTTTTTTTCAGTTGCTGTCCCAGTGGCATTTTAGCGATATTCAATGCTTCTTCCCCTCACTCTCCCCACCTCCCACCCCCCTAGAATAGGAGAGAGCCAGGTTCTCCAGTTCAGGGAACTAGAAGTTGCAACCAAAGGCATGCAGCACACTGTTTCTAGTCCCCATTGATTCAAACTGGTCACCTTGTTGGAACACACAGGCGTTTTCATCTTCGCTAATGAAAAATGGTGTTTTGCTGAACAGGGCTCACCAAGTGACCTCGGCAGACAAGGAGTGGGAGGCCCCAGAGCTGAGCTGTCCTCCCAAGGAGGCTGAAGGTCACCCAGGAGGAGGGGACGCTCAGGTTTATAACTGATGAGTGTGTGCGCAGTCACAGCGCCGGGGGAAGCTTGCTGAGAGGAGCAGCCAGGAGCCTAAGAGCCAGGGGGACAGGTAGAGAGAGCCCTGGCTTGGGTGTGGCAGGAGGGGGGAAGCCGAGGACCTGCCTGACGTCATCGGTGACTTTCCTGGAGGTTGGTGCCCCTGGCACCCCTTCTCCACTGAGCAAAGCGAAAGAATCATTTCAACAGGGCGAATGAGGAATTCTGTG